CACCCTGGCAGTGCAGCTAAAGCTGAGGTTGGGTACAGGTAAGTTGCAGCAGAAACTTTGCAGGCCAGAAGAGAGTGGCATGATATATCCTAAGTGCTGAAAGGAAAACATTACAATCAGGAATATTCTACTGGCAAGGTTATCATTAAGGATTGAAAGAGAGAGAAACAGTTTTCCAGACAGAAGTTTAGGAGTTCATTACCACTAAAATGGCCTTACCAGAAATGTTAAAGGGACTTCTTTAAGTGGAAAAGTAAAGGACATAATTAGAAGAACATTATAAAAGGAAAAGATTTTATGAATAAAAGCAAACACACAACAAAGGGAATAGAGCAATTACTTACAAAGCTAGTATGAAGGTTAAAAGACAAAAATAGCAAAATTAATTTTAACTAAAAATAAGGGGACACACAAAATAGATGTAAAATATGATGACATATACATTAAAAATGGAGGGAGAAGTAAAAAAATGAAGTTCTTTTAGAATGTGTTTGAACTTAAGTACCATCATCACCTTAAGACTGGGTATATGTACTTAGCATGTTATATATGAGCCTTATGGTAACGACAAATCTAAAACCTATAATAGATACACAAGAAAATGAAGAGAAAGTAAGCCAAACAAAACACTAATGTCCGTCATTCCAAAGGGAAGAGACCTTAGACCAGATGGACTTAACAGAACATTCCATCCCAAAGAGAAGAAAGGAACACAGAAGAACTACAAAAACAACCAGAAGATAATTAACAAAATGGCAATAAGTATATAGATATTAGTGATTATTGTAATTGAAATGGCCTACATGCTCAAGTCAAAAGACATGGTGGGGAGGGGTTAGGAGGAATGCATACAAAGACAAAACTCATCTATATGCTGCCTGCAAGAGAGTCACTTCAGATCTAGACACAGACTGAAAGTGAAGAGGGGAAAAGATAATTTCATGCAAATGGAAGTGAAAATTTAAAAAGCTGGGGTAGCAATACTTAAAACAGACAAAGTAGAATTTAAAACAGACATGTAGGGGCACCTGGGTGGCTCAGTCATTTAAGTGTCTGCCTTCGACTCAGGTTATGATCCCAGGGTCCTGGAATCCAGCCCCACATCAGGCTCCCAGTTCAGTGGGAAGTCTGCTTCTCTCTCTCCCTCTGCCCCCCCGAGTCATGCTCTCTCTCTAATAAATAAAACCTTTGAAAAAAATAGACATAATGCCTTTTTTTAATCTTATTACTACTAATAAAGGGGTTAATACCAGAAGAAGATATAACAATTGTAATTATGCACCCAACATTGGAGCTCCTAAATACATGAAGCATATACTAATAGACATAAATGGAGAAAGTGACAGCAAAATAGTAACAGTTGGGGATTTTAACACCCCACTTATATCAATGGATAGATCATTTAGGCAGAAAATCAGTGCCTGAATGACACAGACCAGATGGACTTAACAGAACATTCCATCGCAAAGCAACAGAATACACATTTCTTTTTAAGTACACATGAAACGTTTTCCAGGACAGATCACATTAGGCTACAAAGCAAGTCTCAATAAATTTAAGAAGATTGAATTCATATCATGCATCCTTTCTGACCACAATGATATGAAACTAGAAATCAGTTACAATAAAAGAATTATGAATAAACACAAACAAGGAGGCTAAACAACATGTTATGAAACAATCAAGAGGTCAACAAAGAAATCATGGAGGAAGTGAAAAATACATAGAAGCAACTGAAAATGAAAATGCAATGTTCCAAAATCTTTGGGATATAGCAAAAGCAGGTGTAAGAGGGAAATTTTAAAATGATAAAGACCTACCTCAAGAAACAAAAATTTCAAATAATATAACCTTATACCTAAAGGAACTAGGAAAGGAAGAACGAAGCCCAAAGCCAGTCGAGGGAAGAAAATAATAAAGATCAGAACAGAAATAAATGAAATAGAGACTTAAAAAAACAATAGAAAAGATCAATGAAACCAAGAACTGGCTCTTTGAAAAAAAAAAAAATTGATAAATCTTTAGGCAGACACACCAAGAAAAAGAGATGGGACCTAAATAAATAAATTCAGAAATGAAAGAGAAGTAACAAATGACACCACAGAGGCAAAGGATTATGAAAGGCTACTATGAAAAATTATATACCAAAAAATTGGACAATTTAGAAGAAATGGATAAATTCCTAGAAACATACAATCTTCTAAAACTGAATCAGAAAGAAATAGGAAATTTGAATACACTGATTACTGATTCAATTTTGTTACTAATAATTTAAAAAACTCAACAAATAAAAGTCCAGGACCAGATGAATTCATAGGTGAATTCTACCAGACATTTGAAGAAGAGTTAATACCTATTTTCCTCAAACTAAAATATAGAAGAGGTTTTTAGGAAAGCTTCCAGATATATTCTACAAGGTCATATTACCTTGATACCAAAACCAAAGGCACTACAAAAAAAGAAAACTATAGGCCAGTAATATCCCTTATGAACACAGATACAAAAAATCCTCAATAAAATATTAGCAAACTGCATTCAATATATTTTTTAAAATTATTCACCATGATCAAGGGGGATTTATTCCAGGATATCAGGGCAGTCGATATTCAAAAATCAGTCGACATGATACACAGCATTAATAAAGTGATGGATAATAATCATATAATCAGCACAATAGCTGCAGAAAAAGCATTTGACAAAATTCAACATCCATTCATGATAAAATCTCTCAATAAAGTGGGTGTAGAGGGAACATAACTCAACATAATAAAGGCCATATATGACAAACTTAGAGCTAACATCATACCCGGGGCAAAACAGCTTTAAGATTAATAACAGGACAAGGATGTCTTGTTCTTGCCACTTTTATATAACATAGTACTAGAAGACCTAGGCATAGCAATTAGACAGGAAATAAAAGTCATCCAAATTGGTAAGAAAAAAGTTAAACTTGTCACTGTTTTCGGATGACATGATCATATGTAGGAAACACTAAAGACTCCGCCAAAAACCATTAGAAGTAATAAATGAATTCAGTGAAGTTGCAGGATACAAAATTAATAGAAGTCAGTTGTGTTTCTATACACTAATAACGAAGTAGCAGAAAGTGAAATTAAGAAAACAATTCCATTTACAAATGAACAGGGGAAAAAAGAGAGGGGGGGCAAACCATAAAAGAGACTTAACTATAGAGAACAAATTGAGGGTTACTGAAGGGGGTGGCTTGGGGGGGATGGGTTAAATAGGTGATGGGGCTTAAGGAGGGCAGAAACAGATCCATAAAGACAGAAATCCAACTGATTTTTGCCAGAGGGGAGAGTGGTGGTGAGATGGACAAAATGAGTGAATCAGAGTAGAGATACAGGCTTCCAGTTATGGAATGAGTAAGTCACGGGAATAAAAGACAAAACATAGGGAATGTAGTCAGTGATACTATAATAGCATTGTATGGTGAGATGTTAGTTATAGTTGTGGTGAGCACAGCATAAGGTATAGAGTTGTGGAATCACTATGTTGTACACTGGAAACTAACATTGTGGGTCAACTGTACTTCAGTAAAAAATGTCACCTTATAAAAAATATTTTTTCATATATACTCTCCTCCACCTCTCTGTATTATTTGGAAGTAGATATTGAATATCCTATTGTTTTATTCCTAAATATTTCACCTTGTATCTCTCTAAAATATAGACTTTAAAAACACAATGCCATTAACCGATACCAAGAATAACATCTAAAAAATTAACAGCTTTTTAATATTTTCAAATATCTAGTTAGTGCTCAAGTTCCCAATTGTTCCTTGAGCTATTTAAAGACCTTAAGCCATCCCTAGGGACCAGAAGGCTATATACATGTAACAGTACTGAGAAAATCAGGGGCCTTCAAATAAAATGCATATGAGAAAAAAAATTATACAATTAAAAAAAGCTGATGGATGGGAAAGAAGAGGTGTGGTGGCAGAGTGGAGGGAGGTGTGTGCTTACCACTTAATTCTTTGGCTGTGCCCATTTCCCAGTAGGGGATCCTTGAGTTGGGGGATGTCTCCCAGAGATTCATGGATGATCTCTTGTCAGAATCCTGGGTATACAGCCCAGGCAATGGTATTCCTTCATTCCTTCAGTTCTCTTTGCCTCCTTCCCTTTCCTTCTCCTCCCCTTAGTCACTGCGATCTCTCAGAGAGTGAGTCCCTCCAACTGCCGCACATGTGGCTGGGCAGATTCCCACTTACCACCTTTACCCTCCGCCTCCTCTGCCAGAAAGGTCATATGGGCCTGCCACCACCTCTGCCACCTGTACCACCAGCCCTGGCTCCATAGCCTCCTCTGATGTCCAGTCCACCCACTTTCAGGTGCAGAGATGGATGGTTCTCTCAGGTATGCTGGTGTGCTGTGCAGAAGTGCTTTAGTTTAATTATAGATGTTTGTTTTATGGATCTGATTAGTTGTAAATTGAAAGGTGGGGAAAAAAGGAATGACTCATGCCACCATGATGTTGATGTCACCTAAAAGAAAAGATTTTAACCTAAATTTTTTCACAAACTTTATGGAAAACATTTGAAGACCATTGAAATGACTATTATTTTTATCTAGAAATGTTTTACAAAGTAATCTCTGCACCTTGAATAGTGCTGTGTAGTTTTATGCAGCTGCCTTGGTATATATTTGCCTGAACTATGATTCCCAAAAGCCAGTGTTTCTCATCACATGCTTTGGCTGAATTTACAACCAACTTAAATGACTGTTCATGTATGCTTCAGGCAAATGCTTAAGGATTTATTTGCAAATCATTGTGAAAAGCAAAATAAGGAATAATAGGCTAAGTACCTTACTAAATTGTTGATAGATCTGTTTTCCAGTTTATGTTCATGAACACTAAGTGCAGCCTGATTTGTAGGTCTTTTATGGTACTACTAAAAACATTATTTCAGTGCTGAGTGCAGTGTTTTACTCTTCAGTTATTTTCAAGTACTATTTTTTTATATGTTTATATACACATTATAGGAACTATCCAAAAACCTTGAGCTGAGTACTAACAGTTTCCAAAGACAGTTGCTTGCTGAAAGGAAAAGGGCATATGAGGCTCATGATGAAAATAAAGTCCTTCAAAAGGAGCTACAACAACTGTATCACAAATTAAAAGTAAGTATGTGTTTATTTATTTAATGGATAATATATATATAAAATATATTGAACATTCAGCATTGTAAAAAACATTCATATTTGTAAGTTGGGACAATGTAATTTACAAAATTCTATTCTCTTTGGTACTTTTAAAGAGAAGTTTTGTTGATATAATCACTGTGACAAATGCCAAAAGTGACACATTGAATCCTAATAGAATTGATATAACTAAAATAAGTTATGAAATCCTGGAAGGAATTATGGGAACTGGAGTTTTTCTCTGTTGCGTGATTAAATATCCCAGTGTTCTTCTCAGATAACCCTAGGATTATTTTAAAAGTTGTTTCAAATAATGCCCTTCATTTTCACAGTGTTGAGAGGAAGCATTCACATTATTTAATTTTGTTAAAGGTGTTCTTAATTCTATCCAGAGGTCGTTGATGGGTGGAAATTTTGTGCAAAATTGAATGTTCATGCATTATCTTACATAGAATTTTTTGTTAATCAAATTCTAGGAACCATAGCCTCAAAATGATAAAAGAACACTGTGTTTTTAAAAAGTCCAATTTTTAACTTGTCAGTAACTCCAAGGCCATGTTTGAAAGATGCTAATGAAATTATTTTGGTCTCTGTTGCCAAGCTTGGAAGACAGTCTTCAGACCTTACTAGCTCTATTAGGTAGGAATGGGTAGAAAATGAATTTTGTCTTATTTACTCTAATTTTTTTTGTTTGCCAGTACATATTGCACTTTTTAGGGAGAATCACTGCCCTAACCTAGATGTCCTAGAGATATTCCTTTCTATAGTTCAGTAATTAAGAAGGGAAACTGAACTAGGTATAATATATTCCAGTTTGGTAAGGAAAATACCAGTTGGCAAGGTGAGAATTTTTCTGTTCTATTTTAAACTCATACTCTACATCCTTAATTGTATTGGGTTACTTTTCAGGAAAAGGAGAGAGAACTGGATATAAAAAACATATATTCTAATCGGCTACCAAAGTCTTCTCCAAAGAAAGAAAAAGAACTTAGATCAAGAAAAAATGGTATAGTAGCTATTATTATTGAAAAACATTGTAGTTGTCACTTATTAATAATAAAATCAAATAATTCTAAAGTAGAAGGAAGGAGAAAGAACTTCACTGAAGTAAATTTAAATTTCCTTATAGTTAATTTTCAGAAATCATGTCAATCTTCTATTTTTTCTAAGGTTTAAATTTTTTCTTAATAATTTTTGAAACTTTTATAAAAATAAGACTCCAAACTGGTACTTGATTATATTTTAAGGAACCTTTATTTATCTATCACTTAGCTTTAACAGTTACATATTTTACTAATCTTATTTCATCTATTTTTTTCTACTTCGAGTATTTTTTTTTTTAGACTATTTTAAAGTAAATCCCAGCTGTCATTTCATTTCACTCATAAATACTTTGGTATTATTATGCATATCTTTACTTTTTTTTTTAAATAAAAGTATAAATTTTCCTCTTCTGAATTGCAGAAAGTTAAAAACAGACTTTAACAGGGTTTACCTGTCTAAATTGTCCTCAAATTACATAATTGCCAGTAAATCCTAGAAAAAAAAGATAGTACTAGTCATAGAGCTGAGCAAAACATGCATTATATCAAGTAGATGGCAAACATATACCAGTTAAATTCCATATATCTTAGCACTGTTCAATGAAGACTTCTGTAATTTTCATGGTAGCTGCATGCCAGAGTGATTTTACGAACCAGTGTACAAAAGGAGTACAAACCAGTGAAGACGTGGAGCTGGAAGAATTTCCTATAACACCACAAACGGTTATGTGTTATGAAAACAGTTGGGAAGAACCTGAACATCTTACTTTGGTGAGTTTAGCAACATGATTAGGTACTAAAGTCTAGGTTTGAAGTTATTCCCAAAAACAGTATCAGTACTGTATTTGTGTAAATATGCAAGTAGCCTTCTAAAGAGAGTATTTTATTAAATTCCTTTGGATTGACTCTTAGTTTTTATTGCATCTTCCAGATGCTTCAGGAAGGTTAGTTGTACCTTCTGGGTTGAAGATAGAGGTTTTTCTTATTTTTTTCTTTTTTCTTTTTTTCAAGAGAAAGAGATCAGTGGGAGAGGGAAAGAGAGAATCTTAAGCAGGCTCCATGCTCAGTGCAGAGCCCAAAGCAGGGCTCGATCTCACGATCCTCAGATCATGACCTGTGCTGAAATCAAGAATCAGATGCTTAACCAACTGAAGCCACCCAGGTGTCCCAGAAATAGAGGTTCTTACCTTTTATGTACCCAGATAATTTCTAAAAACCCTCCTTGCTTTTACACTTATTAGCAAATTTTACTAGTTTTCAAATAATTTTTTAGGATTTATCTACATATTTTTTGGTCTCCTATTTGAGAATTTTACAGATTAGTTGAATGTTGAGCAAAGTATTGCAGTGGAATCTGACTTCAGACTATTCAAATTAGAGTGACATTCAGGGGAGTCTGTGTTGGGCCTTCATTTAAAAGGACTTTTAAACAGAATACCACAATGTTCTTTTGTCTAAAAGGTTCTATATTTTGTATTTATAGTTTTAAATTCCAAAGAAAACAATATGCCAGGGATCCAGCATATCTCATATATTCCTGTGTTTTTGTGCCTTATAGATTTTCCAGTGACCCTGAGATTTTTTTCTTGTGGTATAAAAGAGAAAAGATGGTCTGATTGGGTTCCTGAGTAGCTGTATCTGCTAAGTTTCTTTCTTCCTATATTTTCACTGTCTTTGAAACTAAATCATGTTGTCTTTTTGAAATAGCAAAGTCATTCTTAACTTTAAAAGGACTAAAAAAATGGTCTTTGTAAGATGCAGCATGAGGAGCAGCAACCTGATACAGTGAAAGGGTATAGCCTTGGAGTTAGCACTGCCTTTTTAATTAAATTCTGGCTCTGACATGTGTGACTTCCTGGATCCCCAATTCCTAATCTATAAAACAAGGATGGGCTGTCCATCAGGTTGTAGTAATAACTAATCACACAGTTTATAAAGTTCTTAAGACTGATCCTGCCACTTTAAAGGGTCTCAGCAAAAGGGAACATTGTTAAAGTGCAAGCAAATTTCCTGTTGGAAAGAGACCCAGAATACAGTGGCTCAAGAAAGATACAAGTTTTCTTTCTTTTCTAATAGATTGAAGGTCAGTGGGTAGTCCATTATAGGTAGACAGCTTTGTTCCTTGGTAGTCATCCTCTGTCTTACTGTTCTTCCATCTTAAAGAGTGTATGGTTCCTCTGTATGGTTAGAACTGGCTCACCACCTTTGTGAGAAGGAGGAACAAGGAAGTGGAGGGCAAGCAGCTTTTATTTTTATAAATGTGATCAGAAGTTGCATACATACTTTCACTCAAATCTCTTTGGTCCTGTTTAAGTGCAAGGGAGACTAGCAAATGTAGTTTCCAGTTGAGCAGCCTTAAACCCTGCTAAAACTCAAGGGATTCTGTAACTAAAAGGAAGAAGAGGAAAATTGATACTAGGGGACAATCCACTGCTGTACTAATAATAGGTATTTTTCTTTTATTCAGAAAAATTATACACGTGAAAGGGACCATATAAAAGTAATTTTAAGTTTTCATTTTTGATTTAAATATAAAATTTACTGGAGGCTTTGGACACAGTAAGTATAAACTCGAAAGATTCAGTGCAGTTGCCTGTATTATATATAGTTCAGCAGCGCCTTCTCATGTGGCCTCCATAGTTGGCTAATAACCTTTCCTCGTTAACTGAATTAATCAGATTTTGTTGTGAAACGTACAAAGCAAGGATACTTCTGAAACATGTCTCTTAAGAATTTTATGTAGGGTATTGGCTTTAATTCCATGATATTGGTTCTGATATGTGTTATACTTTTAAAAAAAATTTTTAAGTAAATAATCATGTGTGCCTTTAAAATATCTCTCAAAGGGTAGGTAGCTTGTGACTTACTGCTTTATTAAATTAAAATTTGCTTTAATTTCTAACTTAGTTGGTGTCATATTTAATGGGAGATGACTCTATTTTAAATAGCTTTTCCCCCTTTTGACATGTGAACTTGCATTTTTTTTATTTTTTTTATTTTTTTTATTTTTTTTATTTTTTTTTGTGAACTTGCATTTTTAAAAAAATATGTAATAGGACCTGGAATTGCAAGAGAGAGGTAAACATGAAGAAGCAGGGATTCTAAACCCAATTGTGAAAAGAGAAGAAAAATTTTTTAAAGATCAAGGACTCCATGTTGTAAATCAGGAGGTTGAAAAGCTGGAAGATGGTAAGAAAGAGTTTGTTTTATCAAGTGATGAATCAGCATCCTTTGGGAAAGAAAGGGTTAGCATCCCCTGATATTTTCCAGCTGAACAATGAATTGGTTATACAGAATAACAAAAGGTTGATAAAGTGGTAGGGGATGGTCTATTAGGAATCACAAACATTTGAATAAAGTTACTAAGGAAAGAAAAACATATGGTTAAGTTGCTGTTTGGGGTTAGGGAATAAGGACAAGTTACCTTCAGAAAATTCAGATGAAGTAAAATTCAGATAAAAGGGGAAATTTTTGTGTGTATGTTAGTTAAAGCTTGATGAAGAGATAACTGAAAGACAATAATGCACTCTATTGGCTTGACCTTGAGACTCTGTAGACTAGCCCAAACATTAAAATCAATGAATTGTGAGGTCCTAAATATATTCCTGTAAGTTTTCTTTCATTTTAGTATGAAAGTAAATCTTTAACATGTTTAACCAATAGTGTGGAAGTTGAGTGAACCAACTCACATAGTTTCAGATACTGAAAATGAAGTTCAGGAATAAATTCATTTCCATCTGGATAAAATGTCTTAAAGGTATGGGTAAGAGGAATCCCTGACTCTAATCCTCTATATATATTTCATTAGTTTTATAGAAGCTTCTTGCAGAGAAATCCTTTTTTTCCTTAAAGTTAATGGAACGTAAAATTATGACCAAATTGTTGCTTAAATTAGTGAATGTATATTTGTGTGTGTGTACTTAAAACAATGTAACAGTTGAAATAGAAGATATATTACTATTGGCTAAGGCACAAAGGGAGATTCTTTCACATTATTAATAAAACAGAATAGAAAGGTACTGTGGTCTTCCTAGGTACCAGGAAAAGGAATAAAGTAACAGAAGACTGGCCCCTTCTTTTCATCTTTATTTTTTTTCCTGGAGTTTGTATGGAATAATGATCTCAAACATCAGTGAGAATGTATGCCATTTACTAAAGTTACTAAGAATAAGTTGTATATCTCATGCCCATACCTTAAAATACTTGCATGTGTACTTTTACAAAATAAGGACATTTTCTAACATCATTCCAGTATAGTTTGCAACTTCAGAAAATTTAACTTTGATACAACACATTTCTCTAATCTGCTGTCCATATTAGTTTTATTATTTGATGTAGTATTGTCCTTTATAGCATTTTCTTCTCTCCAGGATATGATCATGAATTGCATTTAGTTCTCCTATCTCTTTAGTCTTCTCTAAATATTTTGAGGTTAACATTTTTGATGAATAAAGACCCATTTTCAAAAAATAGAATGTTCCTCATTTGAGGTTTATCTGAAGTGTTCTCTTAATTAGATTCAACTTAATGTATCTTGAGTCAGAATACCAAATGAGTGATGTTGTGTCCTTCTCAGGGTAGGACACCCAGAGGTTCAGTTTAAGTTTAAAATAAACTCCATCCATCTCTTCAGTGTACATCCATTCAGTGTACAGTACTATACTAGGTATAAAAAAAGAGAGAACCTTCTTCCAATTACCTCTACACTGAAGAACAAAATTTTTTCTATAAATGTGAATTTTAAATGCAATACACATTAAGTATATTCTTTCTGAATTCCAGAATATCAAGTGTAGCAATGAAATTTATGGTGTTCATTCTCACTGTACTGATAACTAAATTAGATAGACTGTTTTGTAACAGATGAGAATCAAGTTTTCCTACTTAAAAATAATGACTGCTGTAAAATCCCATTTTTTAAATTTGATTTCATACAGAATGGGAAAGAGAAGAACTTGCTAAAAAGCAAAAAGACAAGATATCTTTGCTGGAGAGAGAAGAAAAGCCCACATTGGAAACTGGAAGATACCAAATGGAAATGTACCAAATTCAAAATATTGATAAATTGGAAGAAGAGGAAGAAGAAAGGCTAAAGAGAGAAATGCTACTTGCTAAACTGAATGAGATCAACAGAGAACTCCAAGATTCTCGGAATATAAAATGCCCTCCTCTGCCATTGCTTCCTGATTTGGAATCAAAACTGCATTCCCCAGAGAGAAGCCCCAAAACATACATGTTCTCTGAATCCTCAGAGAGAGTATCTAATGGGCATCATCTGCAAGACATCAGCCTTTTCACTCCAAAAGGAGATGGTCAGAATCCAGGAAATACTAGAAGCCCAGCCTTCCCAAATGAGCTTGCATTTGGCAGCTATGTGCCTTCATTTGCGAAAACATCAGGGAAGTCAAATCCATTTAGCCAAAAGAGTGGCCTTGTGGATGTCCAAAGAAACAGTATAGAGAAACATAGTAAAGACAGTGTAGATTTAATTACAAGAAGAGAGAAAAAAGCTAATCTGATGGAACAGCTGTTTGGTGCCAGTGGCAGCAACACCATTTCCTCTAAAAGCAGTGACGCAAATTCTCGGGCTGCCAGCAAAGGAGACCTTGACCCTCTAAATTTTCTCCCAGGGGATAAGAGCAGCGGGGATAGAGAACGTGATGAAGATGATGACTTTTTCCTCAGTGAAGGAAGAAGTTTTAATCCAAATAGACACCGATTAAAACATGCAAACAGTAAACCAGCAGTAAAAGCAGTGGAATCTGTAGAAGATGAAATTGAAGAAGTAGCCCTGAGATGACTGACTACAGTATACATTTTTCCAATTGTAAATATTAAAATATTTTAATACAATATTTATTATAAACCTTTAGAATTTTTAATGTTAAAAAGTCCTTATTAAGGAATGATTTTTAATAGACAAATACAGTGTAAATGGAAAGAAGTAGATCATATCTCACCACATAGTTTGCTAAGAATGAAGGAGACTTTTGAATGAACCCAAAAACAGATGTATTTTGCTTGGTTTTGGCTTTTTATTTACAAATAGGTTTTACCTCTTAATCAGCTCTATAGGAAGTTTTACTCCATTGGAGTTCATATTTATTTCCTATTTTTATCCCTATTTATTTATTTACTTATTTTTGGTCATGTCCTCATTGAAGTAAATATAGTCTTGTCGAGTGGAAATTGAAGGTGTGAGGCTCTGCGTTGGGAAGATAGCTCCCAGATGGTGGAGCACTGGTGCTACTTAGGAGCCCTGTCCTCTGTGGACAGGGGTCCCTTTCTCACATAGCATAGTTGAGCTACTCTTAAGTGGAAGCTGTGACAACATAGGGATTTCCCACTTAAGAGATGCATTAAATCGCTTGCCTACAACTCTGCTAACATATTAGGTTGAGATCAGGAGACATTTGTCTGTCTGCTTGGATAATTCCTCTGTCATAGCTCCTGGAGACTTGGGTACAGTGGTAATCAGTAATTCTTTTCCTCTTACACTCTGTATCTCAGTGACTGGGTATGAAATCTCATACCCAAATACATGAAATTAAAGAAATTTCATCCTAATAATATAGAAAGATTTTTCAACTCAGTTATGTTTCCAGAGTAATCTAACTTGGAAATTTTTAACATATTTTTAAGGTTTGAACTTGCTATCAAAACCAATGATAATGATAGTGTAATACTATTGTGCTTATAGGACTAATTTTAAAGCAACCATTGTTTAAAAATGTTTTAGAGATGGGGCTTCTGCCTTGCTGAGTAGGGCAGATGTTTTTCTGTTGAAATGTGTTGGTTTTCTGCTGTTTGTAGTTTACTTCAGCTACAAAGGAGTTGATGACCTTGGATTATGTTGGGTATGATTGGTCTTTAAGAAGTAATATACCACCAACCGAGGAGAAAACACTGTTAAAGTGAAGAGTGGGAGAAACAATGTATCAGGGAAAGCATAAAAAAATGTAGATTGACACTTAATTCTAAAGTGAGCTTCCCCCCCACCCCCAGAATTTAGTATGTATTCACTAATAGTATGATTTCTGATGCCAAGCATATATACTGATGAGGGGACCGGAGTTACTGTTTTATCTTGAGTTCTTAATGCTTGTTATTGAGTATAAGTTCATAACTGTTTGGCAAGACTTACCTGGATAGGTCTCTAATGAAAAGATAGAATATCTATTGTCTTCTAAATTGTGTTACTGTCATTCATTGGGAACTGAGTCTCCCAAAAGTGCTAAACTACATTTAAAAATTGTTTTAGCAAAGAGATTTTTATGTCTGATATAAATAAGCTTTTAGTATCCCGCAAATCATTCTGATATCTGTAAACCACAATTTGTAATGTAGTTCTTGATAAAATATTATGTAATGTTAATTTTGTTCATAGTTGCTAATTTTTCTGCCAAAAGTATTCTGATTTTTAGATTGTTTTAAGAGGCTTTTTAAAAGCCTTTTAGTAGAAGTTTTATATTCAGGTCTTTAATTAGTCTCTTGCTTTTTTCCTACATAATGTTTTCTAGTCTCTTTCATCAGATATAGTAGGACAGAATTATTAAAATTAAACCTAAAATTAAGTTATAGACTTAGAAGCATTATGGTGTTAGACATTAAAATTTAAAGTGTACAGAACAGGTTTTTCTTTATGAACAAACCTCAGAGTAAATCATTTTTTTTTCTAAATGTCAAGTTAAATTTGTTATTTGTACTAAGAACTGTTAACTAATAAAAACTAAAAACACACTACGGCTCTTTGTTTGAATGATACCTTAGGTCATTTAGGAAATTCATGGTAGAAACAGGACCTGCATAGTTTTTATTTATTTATTTTTTCCTGTCCAGTATTTTTAATTGAAGTAGATGAATTTGCCCTAAATCAGGCTCAACAGTATGCTTGTCTTATCAGATAATTATAGTTTTAATTAATCCTTTCACCCTTAATAGCTATACTAATGGCATATATTGCTCATAATATAAAAAAGGTGGGGGTAAGGAGGATTAAATTGAATCATAAAATAAACTTATTTCATGGCTGACTTGCTATTTTTCAAATGATCCTCCTCTCCATCTCCTATCAGACATGCTCACCTTCTGGTCTCCCTGGTTGGGTGTGTGTTGGATACAGAATGCAGATCTGCCTGATGAAAAGGGGAAGGGAGATCTGTGTTACAGTGACAATGTGGGGTTTTTAGGATTAAAAAAGGAACTGTAAATTGTCAAGAAAAGATCTGCCTTTAAAGCTTTTTCCTTTCTACACAACAAATGCCCCTTTCACATTAAAGTCACCTTTTATATCATTTCAAAGTGCTCTCTTTTTTAGTAAAGAGCGTATACTCATTCATTAACTGGGTGCTCTGCATATAGTAGGTGCCAGGAGAGTAAGATAGACCCTGCCCTTGCCCTCACAGTGAATGCAGAGCCCAGTAGGCCAGACTGTACACATTTCCCTCCCTGCCCGCCCACCGCTCTCTCACTGTCCTTGGGTCTACTCAGCTGTTACTGCTCTTAATACTTTTTCATGTGATTATGAGGGATGAAGGAAATACTTAAGTTAATGCTTGGCAGGGTGCCTGGCACATTATAAGTGCTCAGTAAACATTAGCTGTTCTCATTGCTGATTGAGGTTCTTTTAGGGTATAATTGAAAAATAGAGCATAAGTATGTACGTATATTGACACTACACTTTATACAAGGTAACAAGCAAAAAAAAAAACCCTCCAAATTATCTTAAAACATCTGTACTAAATATATTGTGCCCCTTAGGTCTGCACTTAGAACTTTCCTTGCTTTATTCATCATTAACTGTGCAGTAAGCCTCACAGCAAAAATGAAATACAGAAAATGCAGGACTTTATGATTGCATAATGTGATAATTTTACCCCAGCTTTCGCACAATGTGTGTATCCTTGGATAAGCTACAAAACCTCTCTGCATCTCCTTTCCCCCCTCTACAAGATGGGGCTAATGATAGTACCTACTTCATGGTGATCGCATATATTAAATGAGTTGATACGTGAAAAACAGAATTATAAAGGCTCAGATTATTGCTGTTGATGTTTTGGAAAGGTAATGGAGAAACAGGGAAGAGAAGTGATATTTGTTGAATGCCAGGCATGGCAGTTGGGGTTTTTATGCATGTGCTTTAGCTCCTCATAAAATTTTTTCTAAAGTAGATGCTGTTACTCCCATTTTACAGTTGGGGCTAGTAGACTGTAATATGAAAGTGACGGATACAGGTAATAGACTACATTCAGTAGTCTCAATTTAAGTAGTCCAAAGAAATAAGATATTTTAGAAAAGAATTTTGCATTAGTACTCTTTAAGTGTTAAGTGAGAGAAACCCAAATCAAACCAGCTTAAACAAAATGAGGAAATTATTTTTGGCTTGAATATGGAAAGCTCAGGAAAGTGTGGTTTGATTTGGAGGTTCAAATAATAGTGCTTACTCTGTCCACCTTTTAGCTTGACTCCCTTCAGCTGGCACCCACTTCAAAAATAAAATCTTTCCTATAGCTCTGGCAAAAGTCTGGTTGGCTAGTTTATGTTATATGCCACCTATAGGGCTGGTGGCATTGTGTAGAAGGATGAAACTACTATCCCTCTTCATGGAATGATCACAACTTCTATGGATAGAGGAGGCATTTTTCCTGATGAAATTTTAGACACACACAAAAAAATCCATTTACTTTATAATTATTGTGGATTTGGTTCTAGACTACCACAATGAGGTGAGTCAAATTATTTTTTTGGTTTTCCAGTGCATACAAAAGTTAGGTTTACACTATAGTCTATTAAGTGTGCAGTGGTATTATGCCTAAAAGCAATGTGCATACCTTAATTTAAAAATATTGCTAAGGGGTGCCTGAGTGGCTCAGTCGGTTAAGTGTCTGCCTTCTGTTCAGGTCATGATCCCAGGGTCTTGGAATCGAGTCCTACATCGGGCTTGCTGCTCAGCAGGGAGCCTACTTGTCCCTCTCCCTCTGCCTGCTGGCTCTCTCTGTCAAATAAATAAAAATCTTTAAAAAAAACTATATATAAAAGTGCTGCTAAAAAATGCTCGCCATCATCTGAGCTTCCAGCAAGTTGTAATTATTTTTGCTGGTGCAGGTCTTGCCTCAATGTTAATGGCTGCTGACTGATCAGGGTGATTGATCGTTGCTGACGGTGGGGTGTCTGTAACAATTTCTTAAAATAAGACAACGATGAAGTTTGCCAAATCGATTGACTCTTCCTTTTATGAATGGTTTCTCTGTAGCATGCGATGCTGATCGACAGCATTTTACACACAGTAGAATCTCTTTCCAAATAAGAGGCAATCCTTTCAAACCCTACCACTGCTTTATCAAGTACGTTTACGTGATCTTCTAAATCATTTGTTGTCATTTCAACAATCTTCACAGCATCTCAGGAGTAGATTTCCATCCCAAGAAAACACTCTCTTTGCTTATCCATAAGCAGCAGCTCCTCATCCATTCAAGTTTCATTACAAGATTGTAATAATGCAGTCCCATCTCGAGGCTCCACTCCCAGCTCTCTTGCTATTTCCACCACAATTGTGGTTACTTCCTCTGCTGAAGTCTTGAACCCCCCAAGTCATCCTTGAGGATTGGAATCAGCATCTTCCAAACTCCTGTTCATGTTGCTATTTTGACCTCTTCCCACAAATCACGAATGTTCTTAATGGCATCTAGAATGGTGAATCTTTTCCAGAAGGTTTTCAACTTGCTTTGCCCAGATCCATCAGATGAATCATTACCTGTGGCAGCCACAGTCTTACAAAATGTATTTCCTAAATAAGATTTGAGTGTCAAAATGACTCCTTGATCCATGGCTACAGAATGGATGCTATGTTAGCAGGCATGACAACAACATGAATCTCACTGTACATCATCAGGGTTCCTGGGTGACCGGATATATTGTCAATGAGCAGTCATAATTTGAAAGGAATCTTTTTCCTGAGCAGTAGGCCTCAAAAGTGGGCTTAAAATACTCAATAAACCATGTTTTAAACAGATGTGCTGTCATCCAGGCTTTGTTTTTCCATTTATAGAGCACAGGCAGAGTAGATGTAGCATATTCCTAAGGAACCTAGGATTTTCAGAATGGTAAATGAGCATTGGCTTCAACACGAAGTCACCAGTTTCATTGGCCCCTAACAAGAGAGTTGGCCTGTACTTTGAAGCTTTGGAGACAGACACTGACTTCTTTCTAGATATGAATGTTCTAGAAGGCATCTTCCAATATAAGGCTGTTTCACTTACATTGAAAATCTGTTTAGTGTAGCCTCCATTAATGATCTTAGCTAGATCTTCTGGATAACTTGCTGTAGCTTCTACATCAGCACTTGCTGCTTCACCTTGCATTTTTATGTTATGGAGATGGCTTCTGTCCTTCATGAACCAATATCTGCTAGCTTCAGACTTTTCTTCTGCAGCTTTATCACCTCTCTCAGGCTTCATAGAACTGAAGGGAGTTAAGGCCTTGTTTTAGATTAGGCTCTGGCTGAAGGGAATGTTATGGCTGCTTTGATCTTCTGTCCAGAACACTAAAACTTTCCCAATATCAGCAATAACGCTGTTTCACTTTCTTATTATCCATGTC